GGTTGCAAAACTGCCATACTTAAGTTAAAAAGAAAATTGATTAGCCAAAACTGAATGTTGTCTTCTGAGCATTTCACAAACTGTGTCGAGTTTCTTAAATGAGAGATGATTTTGAAAATTTCATATATCAGCACGATGAGTTTTGCCTCATTCACACAGTGAATTAATAATAAGCTCACCGGAAAGATAATTTTGCGTTGTTCAGATGACTACCAAGGTCTCTTGAAGAGTGGTTTTTCCTTTAGGGATATATTTAGGAATAATGTTTATATGCCCCATTACCAGCAACATTAGAAGGGTTCCAGAACCGCATTACAGCTGTTTTGTGAACGTTAACGAAGAAATGTTGCAATCCATGTGGAGAAAATTAAGATACTGCTTAGATGTGTATTGTGTAATAAAAGGAACGTACATCGAACATTTACAGTCTAAGACTGAAATTTGAAAGATTTTTAATTTTATTTCATACAAATTCCTTTGTTCACTTCAATACTTTAGGAAATGTAGCACTTTGTAATCTGTTCTGTCATTTGTCAACAATTATTAGAAGAAAATATGTTAGCATTATGAAGAAAAAGTCAAAAAAATTTTTTTTTCGGGGAGAGTATTAGATTTTATATGGGAAGTCAGACATTTGCGTATTTTGTACATATTGTTACGAAATATATAGGCGCGGTAAGATGGCTTCCCCGCAAAGCATTTTTAAGATTGCCATAAAATGGCAAAGGAGAGCAGGGTTGCCACATTTGGGGGAAAATCGCGCATTTGGCGACAAAATTGGCGATTCACCATGGGCGGTTGGAGAACCTTCTGGAACGAATTCTTACCGGTTTAGCCCAGAATGTTCCGAACACAAGCCAAAAGCTATGTAAACCCTGCTGGTCCGCAGTCAGTTAGTGTGTGTGCCTCGCATACAGTGTGAGAGAGTCAATATCGAGTTGGTGTCTCATCTAGCGAGTCAATCCCTGCGGAGTCGATCGAGTTGACAGCCGGGCAGCGAGCGCCGAGTGGGTCGTCGAGTGCACCGTAGAGTATCGCGGTTAGTGCCTCGTCGAGAGAGCGTGTTGAGCTCCGGAAACGGCTGAACCGAGAGTCAGGAGCTGTGCTCTGTGTGTCGTCGAGTGCATCGCGAGTTGTAGCGTGGACAGTCTCGAGAGTTCTGAGAACGGCTGAACAGAGTCGGAAGCTGTACTCTGGTGCTTTGCGGTGAAGCTGTTCCCACCGTTATTGCCTGAGAGTGTAAAGGCTGTGTCGCTGATCGTGTCAGCGTGTTTATAGTAGATCTTCAACGACTGTAAAAAGTGTTATTGGAGCTGTCCTGATTAATATTGGCTAAATAAAGTGTGTTTCGATACTTCATCAAGTGTTGTCGTTATTCACTCCAAATCTACAAACTCCGTACGACCGTGAAGGAAGAAAATAACGCAACAACTGGTGTCAGATGAAGAACAGAAAAACGTAACAATATTATAATGAGTTTCTTTTTGTAATAATATAAGCTTGTAGAATAATTATTAATTGATATGTCTGATTTCTGGGATATTTATCTGGGATTACAAGAAATTAAAAAAAAAAAAAAAAAAAAAAAAAAAGAAAAAAAGAATTCAGAAATGCTCGAAATGTTTGTCTACAGTAAATAATAAATCATTACATATTATTTGTGTAGCGAACTAAATTATTTTAGAAAAGAGTTATACTCAGGTAGTGACTGAAATGAAAAAATTATCATTCAAAACTAAAAAATAATTAAACTAAAATATTTTTCTGAATAATCCCAACTGGAAGTAATGATATTTAAAAGAAATAATTGTTATGATATTAACTTAATTAAGGTTGTACTATCTCATAATTAGTTATACTAATGCAACTATAACAGAAAATTATTAATAATGTACTAGTATTTTTTTAAAAAATATTTTTAAATGCAATGACTTCTTTCATGACAGCCAACTAACTTGGACTCTGGAGTGACCAATACTTTTGAGAACATGAGTAAACATTAATGTTGAAGATCATTTTTCTTACGCGACAAGCTTCACAAAAAATTAAAATTGTCTTAGGCAGCTTTTACTGTCGATACCCATTCATTAAATATGGCGCTCTACGAATTAGATTTATAAAATTTCTTAGATTTACGTGGTGACAACCTAATTATTTTTCAGATTTTAAGTGACAATTCATTTATTTCAGTTACTACTGAATAACCGTATTGGTTCTCATACTTGAAGAGTATGAGAACCAATACGGTTATTATTAATAGTAACGTAAAATTATTAATGTCAGTAGTTATAGTGTTGATGCTTAAATATAATTCGTTTGATCGGTTAATTTTAAATACAGATACATACTATGAATGAAGACAATTTGAAATAATTATTAATAAATTATTCTTCTCTTTCCTGAACTTATGTATTTATTTATCTATTTAAGTTATTATTCCAGCGCTAAACTTGCTTTATAAATTCACGTGCGAAATACTATTGTAGAGACATTAGGCATTTTGGAAGCAGGAAAGATGAAAAATATGCAACACCTTCGCTGAGAATCGAACCGCGGACCTCTCAATTACGCGTTGAGCGTGCAGACCACTATACCACGAAGGCTTGTTAAAAAGGCGGGAGAAATACCTTATACACACCACCTTTTAAAGGGAGACTCATTACGCGCTGAGCATGCTGATCACTATGCCACAAAGGCTCGTGAAGAAAGCGGGAGAAACACCTTATACTATTACAAGTATATTAAAATATATTAAAAATAAATTTCATTGAGAAAAGAGGTGTGTACCAATTTGAACATTAAACTGAGCCAAATTCAAACTTAGGTTCATGTGGTTTGTCCAGAAACGCTGTGTGTATTTTGAAACAGAAGGAAGTGTATCCTTTTCTTCAAGAAGTAAACATACTATGGTCTGTTTTATCGGAAATGCAGCAGTTCCATTCAATTATCAGAAGAAAAAAAAGATTGCAGACTTCATTTTTTAAATATTGATCCAAGTCATATTCTTCCAATTTTAAAGTTTCTGGAAATAAAGTAAACAGTTTTATAAAAGCAGTTTCAGCAAAGAGCGGGTGGTTTCCCTAAATATGAAATTTAACATTTTCTGAGGTCCTTATAGATTTAAAAGGCAAACTGATAAAATATTATACTTTAACGAGTGTAATGAAAAATTTAGGTACCTTTATGTGCAAAATTTTCAAATACGTTAGAGACGGAATTTATTCTCCTAGGTCACTTTTCGATTCCTATCGCCGAGAGATTTCACTGAGATTCGATTTGAGTGTTTCAGTTCTGGGCTAAAAAGAGTACTCGAATTAAATTTATAACTAGTTTTCGGAAAATATTGATTGCGCATATCTCTTTGAACGTTTCACGTAAAAGCATCAAACATTTTGTGTTTGACTTATTAAAATATAATGGATATTTTACTTAGATTTTTCTGCTCTACGAGAACCATAAAATGCGTTAGATACAACTGCGTTTCAAAAACTCTCTTGCCCTTTCTTGAGAAAGTTTAGATCTGGAAGCACTTGTCTAAGATTTTTATTTAAAGACGTAAAGTCCGTAATTATGTTCATAAGAATCTTGTCTAGATAAAAATTTAAAAAATGAAAAAAAAAAAAAGAGAAAAAGGAAAGAAGTATGAAAAATTTGGACTGCAGTCTAAAGTTTCGAAGAGATTAACATTAAAAATTTAAAAAATTAACAATATATTTAAAAATTTAGAAAATATAAAAAATCATAAGTTGTTTTTAAAACTGGAATCTAATTTCAAACTGAACGCCTGAAATAAATTATAGGTAATCAGTTAACGATTACCCTGATAGATGAAGAACTAATACCCCAGGAATGCAAGAGATCGAATATAAAATCATATATTAAAAAAAAAAGCTGTTAAAAATAGCACTGCAAAGATGATAAAACTGACTATTATATTGTCGTGCAAATGAAGTGATCGTTTTAAGACAAATGAAGGAAAAAGTAGTCAAGTCTCAAGACTGTTTTTATTATCTATTATTTTTAAGACATTATTTTATTTATAAGTAAACACTAATATAAACTTGATGAACAAGCTGAAACAGTCAATATTTGGAAGGTTGTAGAAAATGGAGAAGAGTCTTCAGTAAATGAAACATAAAGGAAATAAATTAACAGAAAGGAAATTTAAGCAATATCAATTTTTAGATTACTTTCTTTTGATAGATATTCGGTTTCCGAAACTAACGAAACACTAAGCTACGATGTCCTGAAATGAAGGAATAATTTTTGCGACATTATTATTTAATCCAAAATTATCGTCTCAGGGAGACTTAATGCACGCATTTAATAAATGCAAAAGACGTAGATTTACATTTATTTTACTGGTCGCTTGCCCATGAGGTTGTATGGGAATTTTCTTGATTTTCCCCATGTGTGACATGAATATGAATCACTTTCCATTAGGAATTTGTCCACGGTGACATCCCTTCCTTTAATAAAATAAACCTTTTGTGTTTTATCATAATTCAATCAATTTATTCCTCTTCGGAACATTTAATAAATAATAATAATTCGTTATAATAAAAAACACCACCAATTTATGAAAGTTTACCAATATTAATTATGAGTTTTGCTGCTTATAGACTTTAATTGTTCATCTTCTCAAAATAAGCTAATTTTTACAAACGCTTTTGTAGCGACCATTTCCCAAAGAAGACCATTTTTGAGGGTTTGCGGTATTTCTAAAAAAGTAAATAAACATTGCTTTTGAAACGATATCTTCTCAAGACAGCCGAATCCTCGAGAGACCGAAGCTATCTGGAACAGCGGCTGGTCATCACAGAATTAGAGTGTACTGTATTTTAAAGCTTCGTAGAATAATCTTGTAATGCATAATTCCTTTTTTAAATCTAACATAGGGTTGCAATCGTGTATTTTAAAAATTATTTATTAATCATTGTTCCATTTTTGTATTTATACGTGTACAAAATATATTGCATTAATTCTCTATGATTTTACAGTTATGTCTTGGTTGTTCGGGTTCTTTGCTCTGCATCAGCGAACGCAAGAGTTGCGGATCTTATTCAGCATCAGCATTACACTCACTGCATATTATGTAACGTTATTCTTCGTAAGTATAGATAACTATTTTCGAAGCGGCTATAGCCCTAAAATACAGAATAATTTCTCATATTAATGTTTCAAAGAAGCTGAATGCCTAAATATTCAGTGCTTTAATAATAATACGGTTTTTTTTTTTCAATTTAATTAAAATGTCGATGGGGATCAAAATAAACTGTCTCTATCAACGTGCTATAAAAACCGGTAGTAATTTTAACTTGCTCTTATTTTTAGTGCAAGTTTTGAAGAGTGCATTTCGATTTTAACAGTTATTTTTTCAAAGTTAAGTGGAATTGACAAAAGAGCGCATTCAGCATACTTTGCTTTATGTGTTAAATTAAATAATTATTAAGAGGAATATTAATGCAGTACATGGGGTTTGGACAATATACATAAGCCAGTATCAAAGGTGGTTCCAGATATTCCGAGCTGGAAATTACAGCCTAGAAGATCAGATTCTTCGTGAAGATATATAGAGCTTGACGAGGACGCCTTGCAAAAGCTGCTGGAACAAAATAACTCTTGAGCAATTACTAGAAGATGAAGAAGAGTATATTTTAGATTATAAAGACGCTTTACAAGGTATTTTCTCCTTCTTTTCCACAATCTTAATTTTGATAAATAAAAAATATATAAAAAAGACTGCATTGTTGTGGAATAACAAGGTTATTCTTAATTCCCTGAGATATTTTAATAATTCTGAATAAATAAACTGCGCATTTGATATGAAATTTCCTTATATTGAAATAAAAGCAAACTGTTATTCTGCCTTTATTTAATTTACATAGTTTATAAAAATCTAAAGTATTTGTCTTTGCTTTTAGAACAGGCATATATACCAAAATCCGATTTGTCCAAAGGGAGTGCCAGTATGTCGCGGTTAAGGAGATTATTCGAATCTCCCGGTTAACAGTACAACGTCATTGATCTTGATTCCGTCAATGATCAATGATGTCCTGGATCTGGACATTAGATACGAATGGACAGAAGCAGTATCATCAAGTAAAATATTCACAAAAAAAAAAATCATATTGCATTTAAATCCGAAGACCGAAATGTCCTCCTCAAGAATGTTTCATCTCCTCATCTTGTGCTACCTTCAGAGGTTCTCAACCTTTTGACTAACACGTACCATCTAAACAAAAATTGGAAACCTTTAGTACCATCACTGCAAAGTGCTACTACCACCACTATTCTTGAACAAAATCTCAGATCGCATAAATTTACGAGTGTTAGAGAAAAAACTCAATCAAGGTAGGGTTTTAATTTTTAAATTTAGTTAAAAAATACTTTGCTTCTTTGCGTACCACCTATTTTTCTCTTGCATACCACCGGTTGAGAACCCTTGTTGTAGAGACATAAAGTATTTTTTTAAGCAGGAGATGTGAAAAAAAGAGCAACACCTTCGCCGGTAATAGAACCAAGGACCTCTGGAATACGCGCCCTGCTTGCTGACCACTACACTACGAAGGCATGCTAAGAAGGCGGAAGAGATACCTTATATACTCCCCCTTTTAAAGGGTGACTGGGGTTTAGGAGACCCAATCGCCAAATCCTGGGTGTGAAGAATCATCATCCATCACCCTTTTAGTTCGGGCGCCACTGTAAAGACATTAGGTATTCTTTTAAAGCAGGAAAGATGAAAAATGAGCAACGCTGTCGCCGGGAATCGAACGGACTTCTGGAATACGCGACCAATGTGCTGAACACTACACTACGAAGGCATGCCAAGAAGGCGGGAGAAATATCTTATAAACTTAATGGCAAATTTTGATTCGGTTATTTTGGCAGATAGTCCTGGAAATGATCTCTGTGCTAGTGAGACGGGCAACTTTCCTCTTTAAAAACGTAATTACTGTTTTCATCCAGCTAATGGCGTCAGCCAGCCTTCGTGTATGAAAAAATAAAGCTTCACTGTGAATGATTCAGTATCTTTTGAACTATTTGTTATAGGCATATCATTCCAGTTTAAGAAAGGAATCAAATGGGTGACATAGTAATGATACCAGTATCCTTATAGCAGTCGATTAGTATTCGCTAATCTTCGCATGTGTTTCGACGCAGAAAGATGGCAGCACCTGTATGAAAACCAAGTTTAAATTTAAGGGGCGGGGGGAAAATCCTTCGTGAAGGTGTCAAACCCATTAAGCGGAATGATGGTTTTGTTTGTTAGTCGATTATTAAGGTGAGCAAAAATAATATTTACATAAAAATTCAATGCAGAATAATGTTGGCACCTTTATGAAGGATGCATTTTCAAGTAAAAAGTAAATCTTCATAATGGTACAGGCGCCTTGCTCTCGGCGTACGCATGTGAAGACTTTATGAGCATGGGAAGTCTGGCACAGCTGCTTACGGATGCTGCCATTTTTATGAAAAGGAACTCTTGCATAGCTGTCCTTTATCAAATAAAGTAGTTTTCTCGATTATATTTTAATAAAAATATACGAAGCTTAAGATTTTATACTTCAGTTCCTTGCCCTCCTCCAAAAATGTGTGCCAGTGATTATATGTTACTTATAGCCAACTTATTGAAACAAAACGTTTGTTTTCATACAGTCCGAATTCATCTAGATATCTTTAATTAAAATGTTTAGGGACACATTATAGATATTGCTAGTGAGAATTACGAATACTAAGTTTTTGAAATCAAATTTTAGATGATACTTTTTATGTCAGATAAGTATTATTACACCGCCCGGTGGCGAAGTGGCTAGCGCGTCGCGCAGCTGCACCAGAGTTCTGGGGTTCGATCCCCGAGCTGGGCAAAGATGAGTGAGCCTTTCATCCCTTAAGTAGGTCGATAAAATGAGTACTAAGTTCGCTTGGAGACTAAACGCTGAGAGTCCTGCGAGAAGCTGACCATTTACCCAGGGCATATGCTGATGCACTCCGGGCTCCAAAGGCCAAGAAGGCAGATAAAGGGCACTACAGATCGTGGCCCACTAGGGCTGTTGCTGAGTTTAAGTATTATTACAACACGATCATCTTCGGAATAATCTTTTCATTATTAATAAACCACTTTTGCCAATGTAGTTTACATTGTTCAGAAGAAAGTTTCAGGTTGTTTCTGATAGATCCATCAACTGCTTCGTCGCTTCGCTTCTGAGCTTTAGTGTTTAAGAAATACTGCACCAACAACCGCAGTTTGTAGTCACAGGGAGTGAAATTAAAAGAACAGGGAAGATGTTCGAGCACAGCTTCGAATTACAGCTAAAAATTCACTAACAGCTAGTGTTATGTGCGAAGGCTCGTTGTCGTATTGCAAAATCAGTCAGCTTTTTTCCAATAGATGCTGTCGTACATGTCCTATACGATCACATAACCGTTTCAAGATATGTTCATTCTAAGCTGTATTTACAGACTGCGCTTGGGTGAAGAACTGATGGTGCACATTTCGAAAAATGCCTGTCTGGGGAGGGGAGAACCATGATTTTGATCTCGTAATCGTTCTATGGAAAGATAATGCCATGCTTTGAATAATGAATGCTGCATTCCTCCCATTTCAGGTTTTATTCAGCAGTTCTTGTGACAATTTTTACGCACTCATTTTCAATCTTTTTCAATTAAAATTGCGTGAACTGTCGTATTTTCACATATCAAGAATTTTTCTAACAATTTGTCATCGATCACACTGCACTCAGGACAACATATGAACGATGTTGCCTTGGAGAATCTGAGCTGAAGGCCATTTTATTCTCACATCATCAGTCATACCTTCTCACCTTGCATAGCAAAGGTTAACTAACTTGAACGATTCATCCTAATCTATACATCTTCTTCAACATTTTTTAATTTCCTCTCCATTCTTCCCAAATGAAAATTTTTACCCCGTTAACATGCTCTCCATTTTGGTAGCTCCAAAATATATATTAAAATTATTATTTGTATTATACTCTCATCATAAAAGCAAAATTGCGTTTAAAGATAGAAAACACCCCGGTTGTGCTTTCATTTTTTTTGTCTTCACCCATTAGTGGTGCCAAGTGGAAAGAAACTGCATCAGTAGATGAACTTTCTAGACAAATTGCATACTAATTACGTAATTCAAATTAAAATTTTTTTAGTAAATGAGCTAACAGGAGAAAGAAGTTGTCGAAATCCTTAAAACTTGGTCCACCTTTTTTTAAAAAAAGATTTTTCCAGATGCATATACTTTGTACTGTAAATGATCTCCTCTCCTTCCTCAAGCAGGCACAAAATAATAATTTCGCAGAGACTGAAGATTTATTAGACGTCGCGGAATTAGCATAAATATGCTTCCAACAATACTTGCCATACATATCAACTGCCGATTCTGAGAATAGAGGGAATTTCTAATGACTGCATTTTTTCTAAGAATTTATATACCAGTGAATCTGGATGTATTTCTGTGGTGATTTCATAGCGAAAATTATTATAACTGTTTATGGGCACTTGAAGTCAGTATTACCGATGAGATCAGATATGATAATGTGCGACAACTGCGCAGAGTAAACAAAACTAATGTGTGACCTAGAGGAGTTTTTCTAGTACATAGTGCGAAGTATTCATATTTCGTATAAGCATTTTGACAATTTCTATCTCTTTGTTCTAATATAACGAAAAATCTTTTGGATTGGTCCCATTTGAGTCAATTTGTATAAATTTTGTGTTTTAAAATGTAAATTATGTATTTGCAGCTCATGTTCAATATTTTATTGACAAATATAACTGCAATAAATTTCTTCAGCTTATGTTTGTTACGTCTAACTTCGTTGTACTTTCAGATATTCCACGAAATATCCTTCTGGGACATGTGCCGGAACTTGAAACGAAGAAATAAATCCCCATCCGATGTTGTGAGCTACGATGCTAAATATTACAAATCCACTGAAGACCAAAAGAATAAAGAATAACGTTTTTCATTCAAATGCAGAAAGTAAAAGATCATTGAATACTCAAAAAACAAACTTGTAAAGAGTATATTGATTTTTTAAAAATTTAACTACATAAATGTATTATCTTAAAAAGCAATTTTTTTAAAAATTCAACTAAATAAATGTATTTTCTTAGAAAGGGATTTTTTTCTTGTGATTGTATTTATTGGCCCAATTATATTTTTAATATAAATGTTTCTTTGAGTATTATTAATAATACGTATATACAGAGTCGTTGTAAAAAGAAACTTTCCCGATAAATGAACTCCTAACTGCTTATTCGTTTAACCAATCGAAATAAAATTTTAGATATTTTTATTTCAAGGTAAGCACCCGAGATTGTGATGATTTGAAACAACAGAGCTCTCACGGCTATGATCATAGCGAAAAGATTTTGAAATTTTCGAATGGAAACACCCACTTTTTTCCGGCGCAAATAGATCAGTGCATTGTAAAACCATAAAAGGCGTTGGAACGATACATGCATGACGAAAACTGCCGGCATAAAAATCTTGCAATGATGAGCATTGTAAAGCACTAATGAAAACACAGAGAGGAGGTGCATTGACTCACTTAGCATACTTCTTTGTAGAGGTCATTTCCACAGGTATGAAAATGGGCTGCATCATAAGTGCTCGCTATACAACAATGTTGCAGAATTATGTAATTCCAAATCTGCAGCAGTCGTTGTCCTTTGACAATCTCTGAAGAAACTGATGTCTGAAGTAGAGAAGAACTTTGAAAGGCCTGAGTGGAATATTCTGAATTGAAGTCATGAATGGAGTTAATGGAAACAACGAAAGGCAAGTAATGGCACCTTATATTCGGACGACGAACATATATTGGACATTACAGGGTTCTACCACAAATGGGAAAAGTTTCAAACTGCAGCTCGTGATAACGAAATCTTAAGTTCCTAATGTTTTGTTAGAGCTTCATAATAGCCTTGCTGGAGTTCATTTAGGTGTAGTATACACATATATGGTAATCGTGAACGTTTCGTCTGAGACAAAAACAAAGCAAACGTAGAAAAGTGATGCAAATCCAGGGATGCACGTGGAGCTCGCATACAATTTGCTGTGGGAACTAGGGCACGGTCTGACTAATACATCGCATGCCAGGTGTAAAGCCAGAAAAGTCGAGTGGTTTTTATCTATTGATAGTCGTTGACGTAGATATGACCGTTAGGATTGTGCTACTAACATCACTGAAACTATCGCTTAACAAGGCTTTAGGCTACCATTGGCTTCGTTATTGTGCTTTACCATGAATTAGGGAAGTCGATAGTAACCAGTGTGCGTAGAAATCGGCAATTTCAGAAGAATATAAAGTAATTTGAGTAATTGATATTTTATATTCTTTGGCTATAATTCCTTTCAAAGATCTGATATCCTTTCCTGTTATCTCGGCAATTACTTAGATTAAGAAATGTTTTTTAGGTACACTGATTTTAGGTTAATACACTTTAAGTACTAGCCTCGATACATCAAAAAGGCCTGCTGTCTTGACAAGCGACCATATTGCCAGAAGAACGTGAATAATTTATCCTCTAATGAATTGTGATATATATCCTCTTATGTCCTAAAATCAGAACTACTTATACCTCTGAAAATGAAGAGCTCCCACTTGCTGTTGTTGACTCAACTCGAAGTCTATTGGTGGTTTCATATCTTGAAATTTGAATTGCTATATTCAGCAAGTGTTTCATTTCCATTGTCCGCAGCATAGTTACACAATTTATACCAGAAGTATACAGATGTCATTTTATCTCTACATTGACAATTCGAACCATGTCATTATGCAATAAAACTCAGAAGCTAAGCGAATTGTTTCTGGTGCCAATAAGGTTTGGATTCCAATTCTTCTATTACGACAGATAGCTCCAACTCATGAACATTGTTCAAATATCTCCACATGTGCACTCGACATGTGTGCTGTCAGCTAAGTTAATTGTAATCTGATCCCATTAAGGTTTGAATATCCATTCTTCTATTATGACAGATAACTCGAACTCACAGACATTGCGCAACTTTGTCCATATGTGCACTATGAATCAGCGAATTCATGTACTACGCGACATGTGTGCCCCTTCAATAATAGAAAACAGACACGTATTTAAATAAATCATGAGTATACCTTTTAGAAGTATTATTAGCTCTCTCGTACCGTTCATGTAACATACTATCGTATTTAGTGATTTTCAAACATCTCAGAAATAAGATATCATAGATTTTTTAATCTTTATATACTACTTTTTGGAAAGACAATAGTAACAAGAAAAGATCTGCAAATAACTAACTATAATGAGCTTCCTGTTGGAGATTCTAATGCTGTTTTGCTTCTTCAGTAAGTGAATTTTCCTTTGCTATATATATTTTAATACTTCAAATAATTATTATTTCAGATAAACTATTTTTCTTAACTATACTATTTATTTTACATATTTTAAGTACCTTTAAGTATTTATTTCGACCTTAAGAGTTTTTAAGCGTAAAAAATTGAAGGAAGTTTCTCACAGTTTTTAATTTTCCCACACTATGATTCGCCTGTTACGTATTTCTTATTTCATACTTTTTCTGACAATTGAAATTTATGTTTTTAGTTCAAAGGAATATTCATTTTCACTCAGATGCCATAGTTAGGAATAATACATTTAGCAAACGTATTCATTGATCCGTGCAAAGACTGAAGCAGATAATAAAAGGTAAATAAATAAAAGAAATTAAAATGAAATTCTGGAATGAAAACAATATAGTATAGTGTAGCAATCTTCAGATTGCTATCCGCGGAACCCTTTAACAGAAACATCAGTAATTAATCATAATTACCAACAAGAAATGTCTTGAATGTTGGTTATTAATTCATACAGATTATGCCGAAATTTCTAACAAAGGCGTAAAAATACTCTTGCCATTTGCTACAAATTATGTGAGCGAAAACATTTTCAATCTACATGCAATAAAAACAAAGCACAGAAATAGACTGATTAACAGAATAGATTGATTAAAGAATGCGATTTACTCTTAGGATTAGCGTCAATAGAAGAAGATTTCGATCTTTAAAAAATTGCGGTGACATCAGTGACTAAACGAATAGTAATTAATGAATTAATAACCCATTTACGAAATTTGGGCTCAAACTGGTGAATAGATAATTAAAATGAAATAATAATATTTCTGTTATTTTCCGTATAAACTGCACACAGTGTTCATATAGTTTCAATGCACTTTTAATATTTTCCTCTATGAAGGCAGGTAAGTGAGAAGAAAGTTCTTAAGGTAAGAGCAACAATTTAGTTGTGTGAATGTGAAGACCACTGAGTGATTTTAAGAATTCTAGAACTAAATTATCGAATATTTGAAGAGCGTTCGAAACTTTGCTCATCATTCTTGCATAATTTTGTTTCGTATTTTTCTCAGCGTATTTCTCCACGCTGGCGAAAATTTTCAACTCGACGTTATATTCTGGACAGGTCAAGCAACTAAACGGAAGAAAAGGAAGGACCATGAGTCCTAACTAGATATAAAATTCTTGGAAGCAAAGATTCCATCAAAAATTGCGTTCGATGAAGTGCTGAAGAAACTGCTGTCCGACATTTAAGAAGCCGAAAGTGTAAATTTCCTCACATTGTGCGGTCCTAACTGTGTAATATGAATTCAAAGTCTAGACTGACAAGCGCAATATCCCTTCCACTGATATAGTAAAACAAAGGTATATAAAGATTTTAATATAGATAAAGATTATAATTAATTTTTTGTTTAAACTTGAAATGAATAGAAAGCCCAACTTGTGCTTATACTCAAAATTCAGCCATCTGCAGATATTTAAAACAACATAAGTTGGATTCAGAATTTGAGAAATGATTGTAACCAGATACTACACAAATTTGGGCCTAATTGAGATCACTCAAAACTTTCGGCTAGCAAATAGCTAAAGCAGAAAATTAACTGGCAGAGTTTGGCGGTAGAAATTAAACACGGCTGCGACACAAGCTCTATATCTAAAACTTTTAAAAACTCTCGTCTTAAATAATCTTCAGTCTTTATTTGCGTATTGGTGAAGGATAACATAAAAGAGAAGTCATAGTAAGGATTTAAATCATGACAATTGGTTAGCTAATTATAAAATGTCTTAAGACTTGCCACCACCAGAATTTAAGCTATTCGGAAACAAAGGCCTTAATGTCATTGATTTTTAGAAAATTTAATTCTCAACCTGATCACTTGAGCTAACCTTTGACAATATCTTAAATAGGTTAATAACGTTATTTCTGTGACTATTTACATTCATCAATCTTTCAAAGTTTCATTCAAGACATTTCCATTGGCTCACACCTTCTTCCAAATTCCTGGAAGGAAAAATACTTTAGCAGAAATAAACTTGGTATCACACAGTATGAAGGTGCAAGAATAAAGTTTACCTTTAAAGAATAGTAGGAGGTGAATTGTAAAAGGTGATTTAAACCTCTTACTATTCACTTTTTAACCCCTGAACATTTTTTTCACCCTGCTCTCTAGTCTGTGTTGAATGAATAAATGTGTAAAATTGTAGTTTAGTAAGTTCTTTTATCTAACGGAATTCCTAGATTGGAATATTTTTGATACTTCAAACTTCAACGATACCCGATTTGAAAATCTGTGCCTATTGCTCTACATTTAAATTTCATTCAAACTTTATACGTGTTGATTGGAGACTCCAAAATAATTTTATAGAACACTATCTTTTAAATTTTCATTTATAATGCACCAATTTTAACCTTTCATTTGCAATGCACGCTATCCACAACAAATTTTGCTTTTACAATACTCTAATTCTTTGTATACGAGTATATTATTTCTGCTCAACAGTTTCATGACAGAAAACTTCAAAGCATTCATTACATTAACACAGAAAATTCATGAAAATATACATTAGTTGCCATTATTTTGACTTAAAACTGGTGCCAAAATTTCCTGCTATTTAAAGCCTTTTCGACTGTGTTTAACGCACCAACGTAAGTCTGCAAAGTTGATGAGTACATCAATAGCTTCTTAGTTGTATTTGACTTGGATTTCCTCGCTAAATTATACTATAAGAAAGCATACTAGCAACTTCGTTCACATAGCATGGAAAAAAGCTTCTACTTAAGCAGAGAAAATAGTTCTACTAAAGCAGAGAAAGTAGTTTCTCTTTTCTTTTGCTGTTGTGACAATCAGTCACCTTTTTTGCCACAAATTCGCTCCGTGATGGAAGCCAATTCTATGGACTGATTCGTTTCCGGCACTGGTGATCATTCTGGTCATTTCCTGGCCTTTTCCGCTCTTTTAATCCCTCCTTGATCCTGGTTGACTTTCTTTGTCCTTTAACCTATTCTGGCGGTTCGGATCTCTACACCGGGACATTGTATTGAGGTTGCTTGTATCCACCATCTCGGCTCGCCGTCCTTCTGCATTTTCTGATCTGTGGTCCTTTTTAATTTTCACTTCACTGGTTCATACCCAGGCGGCCTTGGCATTTTCCAGCGAAGGTTTTGGCGTAACTGGCCAGTCATTCCCTTGTTAGCTAGTCGGTCCCCTATCGTTGAACTGCTGACCTTGTTAGCAGATACAGGTTGAAACAAGGCCGCAACTGTGCATTGTTTCTTTGGCATGTTAGGTATCGCTAACCCTTGCTTACTTCAAAGTTTCTACCCCGGATGAAATTCCGAAGTAGTATACCCCTTGGTGTGTCTAAGGCTCTCAAACCCCTCTTCCCTACCACCAAACGTTTGATAGGATTTTAATATCACCGAGTATTTTGAACGTTCTTTCCCGCCCAAGCAATTTATGCGTACATATATCCATGTGTTCTCCGGGATACCAGCCCAGGTTCTTTGGCACGGCAATCAGTGTCACTAACTGTTATCACGTCTGGTCAGTTGACATTGTTAGTATGGTTTCGCCGTCCTTCAAATTGCCTTGGCCTCTTACGTGGTTGGTCATGAAATCTTCCAGCTGCTTCACCTGGGCCTTCAAACTTTGGAACTTTACTTGCTCGTTTTTGCCTTCTTGGATCCCCTGCCCTGTAGCGTTTTTTTAAGGATACATCCAAAGTCTGAACCTTTTCTCTCTCTCTCTCTCTTTTTTTTTTTTTTTTTTTACCTTTCCCGCATTCTTTCCACTTGCCCTGCGGGTATTCATGTGATGCAGGCACCATTACCTTTCCGACGGGGCTGCATTGACAGGGGTTACCTCTAACACATTCCTTATAATCGGTATATCAGCCAACTAGTACTACGTAATTTGGTTTACATTTGCTGTTACAGATTCACCCTTCTTTCCTCGTAAGCCCAACACCTTTTATCTGATTCTCTAGATTAAAATTGGCTTTCCAGTTTGTTATAAAAGTTTATTCCTCTTCTTGGTGTTCAAGAAAGTAAATGCTTAATTTTCCAAACCTTCGCCCTCTTAACATTTCCCTCAGGTATTTGCCATCCTAAGCTCCTCCGACCTCTCTCTTTTTTTTAAATGAGTTTATCAAGAGGTCAATTAGCTTTCTTCCAAGAAATAATTCAGCGGATGCCAGCGTCGACTTTAATTATATTTCTATTTACTCTCTCCGCGATATCTGATTGTTGTCAATAAGGGATAATCTTGAAATATTTTTTGTCAAAAATCGCGCAATTTGAAAAAATGATGAACATACTCAGACACATACATAGAGGACATGATGTATTCACATGCACAGAGACATAGAGGACACGATGTTACAAGTCTTTGAAGAAATGGAAAATAATCAGCTTTCCATAACCTGTGAACAGATTTTCTAATTCTGAGATCGCCTTACAATGAATGATTCATCATGCAATTTTTGTAAAATACTCAGTCTTAAACTCGCTGGGATAACTGATTGCAATCTATAGTTTTTATTCTTTCCTTTCGAATAAAATGGAAGGTAGTCTAGGATTTCATAATTGACTGCCTTATTCCTGATTCGCGTTATGCCATGATGCTCAAAGTTATACGAAACCTTCAAATAGGCTTCAAAATTTTCAAATTCTGCGTCCGCTTGTAATTTTGAAATAACTGAACACGAATTAAAAATTTAAAAGACTTCGTGACGAATTCTTCCTAGAGCACAAATGTAATATTACCGCATGGTCGGTAACATGCTTCTTGCCAAAATAGACTTTACATTTTTGAATGGCCAACAAAGCTATTAGTGTTTCTCTCCCAGTAGAGGTGTATTTTTCTTGAGTCATCTGTTTTACTAAAATACGCTACCTGTTACGCGTCTTGCACGATTCCTACATCAGAATCAAATACACTTGCAATGAATTTAACTTAATCTCCTATTCTATAAATTTCAAGACGGGTGCTTGAATTAATGCCGCTAAGTTTCTCATTGTATTCGCTTCCGCGGACCAAGTAAATGTAGTTTTTTTAAAATTTAATAAGGACCTTGTTGTTTTTGTTGATACTAATCTCGTGCCTGAAATCAGAGCAAGCACGCGAAATTCATTTCAGCAGGAAGTCAAGATTGCCCCTGTCGTTGTCAACAGACTTAGATACCATACAGGTGAGAATGCGACTTTGCTTTTCAGCTCCCAATTTTGAAGAACACATCAGAGGAATGAGTCTAAAGGTCTCCTCCCTTTTTTCCTACCACTAACCTCTCGTAAGGACTTTTTCTCGTGAGGATATTTTCAGTGCCCTCTATACAGCATAGACACTATACATTTACAAACATCCATGCCTTCTCCGGGATTGGGCTCTTCGGTGCGGTAGTCAGAATCTCTAACCCCTCTCCTGCTTAGGCGGCTAATAAGGGCTTTGCTACGCAAGCAAAATCTTTAACATGTATTCGATAACACGAACACAAACCCAAAATAGTGCTAATTTCTTTGGCGTGTTACGTCGCAGGTAATTTTTAATTGCTGATTTTTTTCAAATTTCGCGTTCTCTTCCAATCTGTGACATTTTATATCCTAGGCAGTCAAGATCTGTGCCGCTGATTTATATTTTGCTGCATTCATTCGTTTTTAGAGTTGCTTCGTTTAGAAGAATAAAATCTTTGTGTTAATTCTTAATGCTTTCATGAGCTATTATGTCAGCATTCTATTGTGTCACCCAAGTATATGAATATTAATTTACCAAGTATAGACCTTAAAATTATTTCCACGGCCCTATGAAATGGAGCGAGGCCCTGCATAGACCACATGGCATTCAGGGAAACGTATGTACTCCTGATTTAGTAATAAGTTCTGTTTTCGGTAAGTGCTCCGTTTTTCACATATATCTGGAAATACCCAGAAATGAGATCTAGTTTGGCAATATTTCTTGTAAGCTTAATTTTTCTAATTATTTCGAGGGCCCACGAGCGGCCGAGCGGTAAAGTCGCTGAACACTGGTAGTTCGGTCCGAGGTTCGAATCCCGCAAACGGGCTGGCTGCATGGGTGTTTTCGTGGTTTTCCCCATGTGTAACGTGTATACGAGCCAGTTTCCCTTAGAAAGTCCTCCACGAAAGGCATCCCTCCCCTTAGGCAGATAGCCCTAGTGTGCTTTGCCATAATTAAATACACACCACATCTAATTATTTCGTCAGTTATTGGCAAAGGGTAAATCGTATACTTTATCATGCGTATGTTTTATATTCTGTAGTCATGATGAGTGAACTGTCAGGCCTTGAAATCGGCAGGAGGACTATAACCTTTTTTCTCCGTAGAACTACAGGCCTGGAGTAGGAACTATTATTTTACATTTTAACATTTACGAAATATATTTTTAGCGATAGTCCTTTTAAATTTTTTGCAGCGGTGGTTTCGCTCTATATAAAGGTTGTTTCCCGTTTCGATCGCATAACTTACCTCATGCGTTAACCCTAAGTTCTAATCAAATAAATCTGAAACATTTTTACCAGCTGTTCCAACTTTACCTTCTCCTCTGGAAGCAATTATTTCAAGTTCAAAGCTGGAGGCTCTACATCTTTGTCCTTTAACCAGTGTACTATGTTTAACGCCGTCGATCGCTTGCCTGCAAATTTCTAACAAACAAAAAATTATACCTTATGCTGCTCATTCTTAATTTGTACATTAACAGGCCCTCTACAGTGTTTTCCTTATCTTGTTACCATTTTTGTTCCTGTAATCCGCTTAAAAGCTATTCTGCATCTTTGTATCTAACAAAGACACTAACGGGATTTTCTTAGAACCGATTTGCATATTTGGGAATTGACCCTTTTTTAACTAAAACCATATTTAATTTAATCTGAGAGGCCTTTTTTTGTTTAGGAGGGAACGACAACTCTATGCCACAGTGCAACTAGTTTAAAGTTTTTTAATTATCAACATCACTTTCGTTTTATCCAAACCTATGCTCCTTTTATCCTTATTTTCCTTCAATGAACTTGTATTCCTTTTATCAACTTCCTTTTGTTATAGGCAGTGCCTGACCTTGCAGTGCGGCAGATGATGTAGCTACTATTTGCATTTTCCCAACCTGGTATAATATAATAGAAAATAAGTTTTAAAATTCTCGATGAAGATCACGGCTGAACTTCTACCGAAGGATCTACTTAGCGGTTTCATCGAAGCTTGCATGGTATCCAAAATTTACCCAAACTTTCCGATAGAGCTTGTTGGTGTTGCAGAAATCACCAGTCTTGGGCTGAAAGAAACCCTCCTCCGGGTATGTTTCTGGGCGTTTAGGCTTCAGTTATAGGGTCCCAAATGTGTTTATTAACAAAAAGTCTTTCAGATTGTGTTAGACTGACAAGCGAATTATCGCTTTTGTTCTAGTAAAATTAGGTCTTATGAGATTTTAAATAACTTACTTATTTAACATGAAAACACAACTTGGGAATACGTTCAAAATTCCACCACTTGCAAGTGTTTGAAATAACATAAGCTGAATTTATAATTTGGAAAAAAATTATAGCTGGACACTGCAGAAATTTGCGCTTAACTAAGCTGACTCAAAACTTCAATAGCAAATTTTTAAAGTCGGCTAGCAAATGCAGGAAATCTGACTCGCAGAGTTGGATGATAGAAAATAGAGCTGCTAGCCCCGCAGTCAAGTTCCATATCTAAAACATTCAAAACTCTCTTGAAATATTATTCAACCTCATTTACATCCTGGAGAGGACTAATGGAAAGGAAAAAATACAGTAAAAATTTAAATCGTAAAATATGGTTAATTAACATAAAATAGTGTCTCATACTGCCAGTCAGACCCGAACTGAACTACCAATATTCAGCGATTACCACTGCTATGCGGCTGGTAAGCACAAAAGTTAATTGTAAGAGAAGTTACTGAAGTAAGAAGTTCCTTTACTACTTACGATGAAAATCGTAATTATAATACGCCATACATCTATATGATTACTAAGTTTAGGTCTTAAATTGTTACGTATTTAAAAAAAATTAATTTCGTTATTCGTATTTAAAAAAATAAATTTACTTCTTTTCAGATTTGAACCAAGCTCTTTACCTGCAAGACAACACAACAAACGCACAGCAGGGTAAATTTCAGTTTTTATTGCCATTGATTTCTCTTGTTTCGTAAAATTCTTTTTATCTACACTCATGTCCATAAATTAAGGATAATGCAAAATCAGGCAAAGGAAGAGTTAGAAGCAAAACAAATTTGACTTATTTGTAAAGCTTATTTATTAAACAAAAGGTAAAGAGCAAAAAAAGATGGTATATGTTTGATATTATTAAAAAAATTAGCGATTTTTTCTCCTTAGAGCAAATTAAAAAAAAAAAAAAAAAAAAAAAAAAAAAAAAAAAACAATATTACATGGTTTTTATATTACATGTTTGATATTATTAAAAAAATTAGCGATTTTTCTCCCTGGAGCAAATTACAAAAATAACTTATTTACAAAAAACCAATATTACATGGTTGGTATGATTGTTAACACATTGTATGTCTCCCAGACGATGCAATACAGTCCGTACAACGCCTAGGCATGCTGAATATCAAGTTATAGATCTCTTGGGGGATATTGCACCACTCAAAAAGCAATGCTCTCCGAAGTTCCAGTAGACATGTAGGAGGAGGTTGACGGGCTGCAACTAGTAGACCAAGCATGTCCCACACGTACTCTACTGCATTCAAGTCCGGTGAGAATGCTGGCCAGTCCATACGGGTGATATCCTCCGATTCAAGACATTCGCTTACGATGTTTGCACGGTGAGGACGAGCGTTGTCATCCATAAACACAAATTATGCGCCCTTGGCGCCCTGAAACAAACGTACGTGTTGTTCCAGAATGAAGTTCCGATAGATTTGGCTTGCCATGGTTCCAATTTGAACATGCAGTTCAGTTCTGGGACCCAGAATAATTCCACTCCAAACAAGCACTCCTGCACTACCGTAACGGTGTCGTTCAATGATGTTTTCTTGGTGGTAACGGGTACCTGGAGCTCTCCATATGGAAGTCCGGCGAGAATCAGACTGCAAGCTAAACCTGGACTCCTCGGAAAACATCACACAAGCCCACTGTTGCGGTGTCCACAATGCATGCTCTCTAATCCAGGCTAACCGCAGGCGATAGTGAGTTGCAGTAAGTGGAACGCATCTGACAGGTCTACGAGTATATAGACCAATCTGCCCTAAGCGTCTGCACACAGTCTGCCTTGAAATTGTCGTACCAGTGGCTGAAGAGAGCTGACGAGACAGGTCTGAGGATGTGCTCCGCCTGTTTCTTTTGGCAGTAACTGCCAAATACCGGTCCTCATTCGGCGTTGTAACTCTGATGCGACCTGTGCTGTAACGTCTACTCACATTACCATCATCTTGGAATCGTTGCCAAAGCCTGGAGATGACACTCTGGGCAATTCCAAGTTCGTCTGATACTTCCAGTTGGGTACGCCCACATTCCAGACGGCCGATAATTCTACCACGTAAAAAATCATCCAAATGCGTCCTGTGTGTCATAACTATTCGGTAATTGCACTGAAATGCTTATAAAAGCGCCTGCGAACAATTTTACTTCTTTGCCTGTATTCCTTATATATCACTCTCTTACACTCTCGTCATTGTGACGTACAATCGGTGTCATCTGGTTACTTCCTGAAATTTGCATATGATTCTTGAAGATGTGTGCAGTGATTTTACAAGATATATTTATTTTAGAGTTCGATTTCCGTGTGACTCCGAATTATCCTTAATTTATGGACATGAGTGTAGAATCATTAATGTGGAGTATTTCGAATACTATTATTCATACTATTCATTGTCAGGCATTCGAAGGTTGTGATTAAAAATGTAAATGACTTACTTTGTGCACATTATTCTGCTAAAATTGGAATTTTTGATAACATTTTAAATAAGGAATATTTCGAAGCTTCCATTTAAAAAACTTTCTATTTTAATTTAAAAATACATAAAAGAAATAACATGCAGCAAGGAAAGAAAAGAAAAGAAATTCAGAGGGGAAAAAATTAGAATTTACGATTAAAGGATCCTCATAAACGGTTGGGTTCTAAGGTATGATAATAATGGTAACGGCAAATTGGCTATGGCTAACTTGTTATTAAAAAATAAAATCAGTGGTAATATACTAAAGTCCATAGCTAGGCCATCGTTGAGCCTGATTTCGAGGCCCGAAGAAATTGCAGATGTTTCTGGAGGTATATAAGATACCACAGAACATATAGATATTGGTACTAGGACAAAAGTTACAGGAGACCTTGAATCCGTTTCCTGGGTTCCTCTTAATGAAAACTGGGATAAAGCTGTGTAACAGTCGGAATGTCATCTATATGGAGCCCAAGATCTTGATCAATGACAGGTAACTTTCCTTTTGGCTATGATTAAATTTTTGGATCCGATCTGAAGAGATATCTCAAAATCAGGAGACTAAGTGATGGTAACAAAGAAGAGATCTTTTACTAGATGACAAATTTCAATCAATGTAATTAATGCAAAAATGAACGTAGGTACTTAAAATCATGTTTGAAAATCTTGTTGCGTTCTGTACGTTTTCATGGATTTGGAGTGATTAACGACAACACTTGAAGGGGAAAACACAATTTGTTAGCCTGTATTATTCAGGAAAGCTCCAAAAACACGTTTACAGTCGTCGACTTAGGACAAAACGTTGAAACAATCAGCAACACAGCCTACAACACAGCTATCAGACTATAATAATAAAGACAGCTTCACGGCAAAGCAGTAGAGAACAGCTCCCGACTCGGTTCGTTCGCTCTTGGAGCTCAACACACTCTCGAGACTCTCTACGCTACAACTCGCGATGCACTCGACGATACACTCGATAGCCTTAAAGATGCGTACTCTCTATGCACTAACTCGCGATACGCTCGACGGCCAACTCGACAGTAGACTACGAGACGCACTTGATGATAGACTCGCGATCGACTCGATAGACGAGACACTGACTGACTCACTGTGTACAGGCAAAGTTTATACAGCTTTTAGGCTGCCCTCGAGATTATTCTGGTTCAAACCGGTAAGAATTCGTTCTAGAATGTTCTCCACCCGTCTATGGCATATCGCCAATTTTGTCGGCAAATGTCTCGAAATGAGCGATTTCTCGCCAAATATGGCAACACTGACTTCTTTTGTCATTTTCTGGCAACCCTGAAAACACGCCTTGCGGGAAAGCTATCTTACCGCGCCTGGACGCTAAATCTGTTATTTTTGTGCATGATATTGTGTTTACTTATTTACATAATAAACTATATGCTAATCTTTAAATACCAACAAACTCAAAAAGTGCTGATAAAAATTTGCAGATGACGTTTCGGGAAGTTCAGATTCAATGTTTTCTTTAGAGTTTCGATCAAATCGGATTTCAGGTAAAAGGGTTTTATTATACTTTTCATTTTTTAATTGGTTTTATTATTCTTTTTGCATTTCCTTTTGTTCACAAGAGATACGCTTGCTCTTAAAAGTAATAAGACACTTGTGCACATTGAGAACTTATTTATTGATAAGTGCATAATATTGTGATTACACAATGGGGTTAAACATTGAATCTGAAACCCTACAGTGTAATATTTGAGGCATGACGTATGTACAGTTAAACGTGGATGTATGGATGAAATAGCAAACTCGATTCTTGACATGCGTAAAGTGCTAAATTAGCATCGGAGAATTGTAGAAAAGCTGATATTCAAGATATGAAAAATTAGTATATCTGTCCATGAGTCAAATCACATCAGTTCATACATCTTTTGTGTTACAGAGATTTTTATCACATTATGTATAAGTGTCCATTAGAATATTACCTATTTAGGAAGTACTGTTATGTCAGTGGATTCAAGTAAACAGTATCCAGGAAGAAGCACGTTTACGCAAGGATGATGATTTTTGCAGCAATGAGCTTTTTGAATGTTTTCTAACCATTCAGATAAGTTCACCCATTACCATTTTTATTAATTAAAGCATCAAATATTTTTATATAAATATTTCGCTTTCATCGGATTTTACATTTTGATTAAAAATGTATGATGTGATCTTTTTGCGTAGATATAAGTTTACATTTCAAATAGTGTTAGGTTAAACTTTAGCCTATAGTTTAAACTCAGTCTTAAGAAATTCAATATACACATCGTAAACTGAAATATACAAATCCAGCTTCTAAAAATAGCAGTGTCAAGCATTTGGCAATAAGAAACCTAGCCCTGATATCATTTTAATAGGAATTAAAGTTACATGGAGAATTTTGTGCTCAAAAAATAAAAGACTTCATTATTCAAGGTGCAGCAGAAATTTTTTCTAATTGGATTGTATGCAAAAGAGGTTTGTCAAAATTATTTACCGTAAATGAAGTTACATCAATTTATACTTTGCGAACACGAAATTCGCAAAGTAAAACCAATAACGCTTTACTTCAGATAACGATATTTACTGTTACCAATTCATAATACTGTAGAGACGTTAGGTATTTTGGAAGCAGGAGATGTGAAAAATGAGTATCGTCTTCGCCGGGAATCGAACCACGGACCTCTAATATACGCGCCCAGACCACTGCACTACGAAGGCATGCTAAAGAGGCTAAAGAGACACTTTATAAAACTAAATAACTTAAGTAACATAAAATCTCAATTCACAAAGAATTTCTATTTTAATATGTTTCAGTTTTTTTTAATTATTTTTAAAAATTTCTTTAGTATTTCACTTTTTTATTTGTGAATGCAAAATGCTAGTAAAGAGAAAAATATCAACACATAAAAAATTACATTACGGTAATACATATATATATATATAGATAAGGAAGACCACAATCTGTTTATTACTGCAAAAGCTCAATATTCATCATTCAACTTTGTTTTAGATGTAGAATGATACAGCGCAGAAGAAGTTGAGTTAGAAGTTTGTTAACTGATATATAAGCTGCTACAGAGTCGCACGTTATTTATCACACTGTTTTTGTTGTAACGAATTAAAAAATACTTCAAACGCTACTTGATATAGTGGGAAATAAAAGAAGTACAGAACAAAATAAATTCGTTAATGTTTTATAGAAGGTTAGTAAATCCGAAAACTAAAATCTTGAGGAAACACTCGTCTTCTGCTGGGAAAATGACTGGCATCGTGAGTTAGGATTCCACTCATCATTTACAGAGACAGAATTTACAAATCATAACGTAAAAAATGTTTCAGATAAAAATTTAACTCCATACTCGAGTAAAGTACAGAGACTACGAAAATGTAACATAAAAAATAGGAATAAAGACATTAATTATATGCAATATTACTATCATAAATGATATAATCAATATAAAGTTTAACTATCAATTTAAACTTTATAATGACTTAACCTGAAATTACATCTAACAAAATCTAAAATACAAATGAATTCTGCTCTTTAATTTCTAACAAAGAACGCCCTCTTGATTAGATAAATCATACCTTCTTAAACTGCCTGTCAGGTTTTCAAATAAAATATATTTATTTAGTCTGGCGGAATTTGGATTTATTAGGTTTTTCAAAGCGGGAGATGGGAAAAATATTCAGTTCCCTCGCCGGGACTCGAACCCTGAACCTCTCGAATACGCATCAAGTATGCTTCTAATTACAACACGAAGGCATGCGGAAAGGAAGGAGAAAATACCTTATATACTCCTCCTTTGGGCATTAGGGAACCCATTCGCCAAATCCTGCTGGCGACGAATATCGTCCACTGCCGTTTAGTTCAGGCGCCAATTGTAGAGCCATAAGGCCTTTTTTTTAAAACTGCAGACGTAAAAATTGAGGAGTTCTCCCGCTGGGAGTGGAGCCTGGACCTTTCGAATACGCGTCGAGTATTCTTCCAAATACACCATGAAAATATGCGTCAAGGAAGAAAATATGCCTTATTATTGTGACTTGGTGGAACGTTTGGTGAGCTTCGATCAATGCTGGTAAATATGAACTGCTTATTAGCACGCGGCACCATAATAGCAAGGTGCTTACGATACTTAAATTCTTCGGTGAAATTATCTTAAGGTTACCTTTGCTGATTACCTTAAAGTCAGAGAATTCAGACTGAATTCTGAACTCATTTGAGAAATCACATCTCATACATCAGCAACAAAGACACCATGAAAGTGTTACCATGAAGCTTCTTCCCTTACTAGGATGCTAGACGTCTCCAGATATCTCCCCAAAATGAAGATTATTTCTATCTGTGATTCGTTTCGTATTCACTTTTGCTGCTCCGGGGTTGCGCACTATTCCTATTAAGAGAACTAAGTGTCTTCAAATCCTCCAAAATAATATTTTAAGTATCATTTAAAAGTCCCTGTGTTTCTTTCGTAATAATGTCATTTACAGAGATTTTAATATTGAAACCGTGAGCGAATATTTACGCGAAAATAATCCTAATTTCTTCAACAGCGCAGTTAGCTCCAGCACAGCGAACTTTCTTAAGCTTTTGTGTTATGAAATTTTAGGGATGGAAGTAAAGGCCTTTTTTACCACTCTTTTTCTTAAAGCCTCTTAGTGATGTCATGTGAAATTCAAATGAAAGTACACGAAAACACACCAGTTGCAACCTTATCTCATATAGTAAAATTGTGTATCTGCGCGAAGATTGAATTTTTAGTGATAACAGCATTGCCTCCTGATCTTAAAAACAACAGAATATCAATATTTTATATCTTGGATTTCAAAAGTGGACGAAATTTTTATACTCCTGGTGGCTGGTGAATTTATTATAAAAGCAACAGTGCTTTTTAATTTAACTATGAACACAGTATCCAAGATCTTGTCTAAGTGCTTAGAAAGAGTAAGAACTTAGTCCAAGCAGAGTAATTACCAACGCAAGAGGGTGTTAGAACAATGGAAATGTATCTCAATTTTTAAATTATGAATAACAATAAACAAGAACAATAATTAAGAAATTTAAAAAAAGAAGCTTTTCATTTTGCTTCCAGCATTCCACTTTATCTGTAGAATATATAAGATTATAACTTATTCTTATTTTCGCCTTCCTTTCTGCATGCCTTCGTGGTGCAACTGGAAACAGACTTGATGAATTCGAGGGTTCAAGTCCCGACAAGCGCAGAGCACATTTTTCATGTCTCCTGCATCAAATAATGGCTAATATAACCTGATGATTTAATGACTACTCACCCTCTTGCGAGGATAAATTGCTAACGATCAAGTTAATAAATTTTCCAAGTTTTATATTTCGTTTGAATATTTCAAAGCATTCATTTCTGTGTATATCGTTATTTCCCCAATACAATACATTTAAGCCTTGTTCACGTGCATAAACGGCATTCAGTGCGTGAAAAAGTAATCCCGAAACAAATTCTCTATGACGCGTTGAAAAAAGGGCTGTATTCAATTCAGTAAACTGAAAGTTTGATGTTTTCACCATTACTTTCGTTATTTTATGCATTTTTTAAAATTGTGTTTGCTATTTGAATTGGAACTTCGCTGCATTAAAGGATGTAACCCAGGACGTGATTCCAATAATTTAACAACTAGTTCACTGCAAGTATTGATTAACTTCATTTAACAATTAGTGACTGATTTAATAAAAAATAACAATATTTATTTATTAACTTACGCATTCTTCTGTGCGTTTAAGAAGTATTAAATACCTGTAGCAAAAATAAATTACGGAACACAGTTGCAACATCCTAGCTGCGAATAACCGAATTTTTAGATACACATCATGCATGCATTTTTTTCACATAAACACTTCTAAAACGAAGCACTCGTGCGCTTGATTGAGGACAGTGTATGGCTACAAGGCAGAGCTTCCTTCTAGGTGCTCCCAAATCCACTTTCCTTGTTTAATGAGGAAACGTCAAGATTTTGGGCCTGAGATCAAGACCTGAAGTTTTGAGGCAGTAATCAGGCCCTATGCACAACCATGATTTGTTTTTATGTATTCGAAAGATCTTATGCGAACGTTCACTATGTCTTAAGAGACAGTATGCTATGGAATTGAAAATAAATAAAAGAGACCTATCAGAAGAATCAGATTCTGAATTTGAAGTAAACTCTGATAAATTAAAAGTAGTTCAACGGCTTGTGATACTGGTTTAGAAGGAAGTAATGAGCAAGGAACAACGCTACATATAAGTCCCCTTTTAACTATATAAAAATATAAAATAAATTTCTTTTTTACAAATTACCTAATTTACTAAATTACTGATATAGGTAAAAGAAAGGAAAATTATTGATAACTGATTTGCTGAACTAAGTCTGTAAGAATATGTTACATGAATTTAACTTGTTATTGTTTCAAATTTTTGGTCTAACTAATGATAGCTTATTTAAAGGAAAACTTTTTTATTTACAGAAATTAAAAACTATCCTGACCGCATTGGTACACTACAAAATTTATAGAAAAACT